TGCATACACGCTCTCATAAGATTTAATTGCTTTGTTTTTGATATGTCTGTCAACTTTTTTCGGAATTTCAGAATTTGTGTAATGACAAACCGTCAACAGCAAGTTTTGAAGTTGTTAAAGGATTTATCACTCCAAAGTGAAAATTCTGACATCTACTCAACCCTATGAGAATCCAAGGTTTGCCATTCATGGTTTTAAATACAAAGTATGATTTTTTTTTTTTTTTTTTTTTTTTTTTTTTTTACTGAGACTGAGAGATTAAAAGTCCATTTCACAAATTCTGACTCTTCATATGAATCAAGTCTTTTGAAGAGACATAATTGCTTTTTCATGACAAACAGATTTAATTTAGGGTTTTATTCATATAAACATTGACCAACACATGGACCACATCACATTTACAATATTTTTTTTAACCGTCACATTTTTAGGGGTATAGACTTTCAGCGGAGGGACATCTCTCAGGTTTAAATCCAATGTATTATCCAAAAATAGACATTAAGAAAAAATTGATTGTCCGGAGTTGTTTGTTTGTACACATCCCCTCTCGGTATTTTTGCTTATTTTGTCACTCGTCAACTATATCTGCCGTGGTATAGCAAAATATGAACTATATGTAATCTGCATGAATAAAAGTGTGTTGTGCTCACATGTGCCTGGGCCTCAGCTCTTTCCCTCGGCATATCAAATATGGATGTAGACCGATAGATTTGTGTGTGGCAGAGGAATTCAGGCATTATGAAATGCTTGGAGCAAACAACGTCTATTGTAATCCAGAGCCAGAGTCAAGCAGACTGGTCATCCAGAAAATGAAGAGGAAAAGAGAGAGATTGTGGACACTCCAAACACCTGCTCTGAATGTTTAAAATCAGCTGCACCTCTTCCATATAAACTCTGATGCATGATGCTTTAAAGCGATAGTTCACACAACAATGAATACTGTCATCGTTTACTGTCACCCTCATGTTGTTCCTAACCTGTATGACTTGCTTGCTTTTGTGGAATAAAAAATTAGATTTTCTGAAGACCGTGCTGGTCAGTGGTTTCTGTGCAATGGGAACTGAAGCGTTCAAGCTTAAACAAATAAATATATAAAGTGGTCCACGACTCATGGACTCTATTCCAAATCTGACAGACTGAAATTATTTATTGAAAATCTTCCTTTCCAGTAAGCCGTTAAACCAATTCAGTGAGTCAACTCAGAAACCGAATAGTTTGATTCATCCAATTTATTTTCAGAATTTTGTGAACCGAGTGATTCTTTGAAAATGTCTAACAGTGAACTGAAAAGAATGATTCATTGAATAGAACTTTACTATTTGCTCATATAGGATTTGAATGAATAACAGGGTTTGGAACATATTATGACTGAGAGCTTATGAGTTTTAATTTTTGGCTAAACCATCCATTTAATACAGAGTTGTGGTAGGCAGCTGTTCACGTAGTAAATGTTGCAGAAGCGGCAGTTACAAGGGGAAAAAGTGTACATTTGCATAGGCTAATATTTAACTATAACGGTTGCTGCTGGTTTTCCTTGAGTTGCATCAACTGTGTACATTAGTTTCTGTTGTGCCTCCGCCTCTATAAATAAACGCCTTTCAGGCTGTCTTTCCCTTCCACTCAGCATAGTGCTGCCATGTTAGTTGTCTGTCAGGCAGGTCAGTTGGACGGTGGGAACCACAACACGGTATTCTGCTCATGTTTGCTTGAACAACAGAAACCTGAGGGATGTGCAAGGTTGTTAACTCCTCTCTGCCCATCACACTCTCACTGACAGTTTGCACGCTGACTTATTTTTTGTTTTTTTAATGAACCAAGATTGGAAGGTAGGGGGAATGTGCATCCTTCCTCTCTGAGAAGCAGGAAGGAGAAATAAAGAGCGAAACACATTTCCATAGACATTGTGACTGACATGTCTGCTGATGCAGCTGGAGAAAAGGGCTGTCTTGTCAGACAAAGCACAGGCCCAGCATGAGATGACTGAGGCGAAGGAGAGGGGGAAAGAGCCATGAGACCTCTGTAAAGAGAAGGGCTGAGTAAGGAAAATAGTCAAGACACCAGCTGTAGAATGAAACTATAAACCACAATAAATTAATCAGACAGAGGTGTGTTCTTTAGCATTCACCTATATGTATATACTGTACATTACAGTAACATTGTAAAATATTACAAGTTAAAATAATAATTTTCCATTCGGAAAATGTTTTTTTTTTTTTTATGTAATCTTTCATTTCATCTCAGTTCATTAATGTTTGATGACAAATGTTTACATTTAAACCATTAAAAAGATTAATTGTCATTTAAAACATTTGATTTTAGGTAGTTTACACTGAATTGCTCTTCTTTGACTTTAAACAGTAATTCTTGGTCGGTCAAGGCGAGTTGGCATCTAGGCTAGATCAAGAGAAAGTCATGTGTGGGTCTGAGAGCTTGCTCCCCCTGCTTGGTCTACTCATTCTCAGCGGTCATTGTCATGTGATCACAGCTGAGTTCCCCCATGCTTTTGATATGGTTCGATTTGGGATTGTGATCTGCTTAAAGAGCTTCTGCTACAAATGGCAGAAGCTCTTACAGACAGACATCTTTCAGCATTGACAATGAAGGTTGTTGAAGCAATTTAAACTAAGCTCTCTGTGTTTAGACCAACTTGGCGTGAAATTAAGTTTGGGAATGGCCATAAACACGATTTCTTTTCCCTCTGATGTAATGGGAACAACCAGCAGCCACTCAGAATTGACAGATCCAGTTTTTACCCTGAGGGATACTACCCTGAACGGCTAATATCACTCTGTATAAATAGTGCAATTTTAAAAATCCCATCTTATATTATATTATATCCCATATTATTTTGGGTAATATCAATAATCATCAATAGATGAGCTATTTTTGTCTGGTCTAAAAAAACAAATCAACAGAAAAAGAATAATTCTGTTGAATTAATGCCGGCAGCAGACCAGAGAGGAACAGGGTCAACACGTTGACTGAATTATCTAAGACAGCACGTCTGTTGATGTGGATTTAGGTGTTGCCAGAACAGAAAATGCAGAATGGTAACCTGCTGATAAAAGCATTGTTGGGCATTTGTGCAATATCCGATCCCTCTTTTTCTCACGTCTCATAGGTCGTGTTGTGGCACTGGTTTCCCAGTGGTCTCACATCCTCGGCTAACAGACAGGCCACATTTCCGATCAATTTAACATTTAGTTTCACAAGTGGTGTTGTGTGGACTATCTATGGTTGGCAGCTTGTGTGAACTACACTGCAGCTTTTTGCCAGTCAGCATAAGGACAAGATATTACTCATCTCCAGACTGCTAAACCATGTACTCTCCATCAGCTTTTTGTGTGAATTATAAGGTGCGTTTCGATTCACAAGAATTCTAGGTATTGTGCAATGTTTCCTACGCACTGAGCAGGGGTTATATAGAAATTTACTTAACAGAATTTTCTAATTTTCAGAACTATTGCTTTATCTACTCACCCTCAAGTTGTTTCAAATCTGTACGAATTTCTTTCTTCTGTTGAACACAAAGGAAGACATTTTGAAGAATGTCGGTAACCAAAGAGTTGATGTACCCCATTGACTTCTAAAGTATTTTTTTTTCCTACTATGGAAGTCAATGGGGTACATCAACTGTCTGGTTACGGACATACTTCAAAATATCTTCCTTTGTGTTCAGCAGAAGAAAGAAATTCATACAGGTTTAAAACAACTTGAGGGTGAGTAAATTATGACAGAATTTTAATTTTGAAGTGAACTATTCCTTTAACTTGACAAAATGTTCATTTAGAATGGCCTGCAACATCCTCAAACAGACAACGCTTGATGCAGATTTTGAGTGTATTGTATTATATGGTAATTTATACTAGTATAATATGATGTGTATATATTTTTATATATATATATATATATATAAAATACACTAGCATTCAAAAGTTATTCTTCAACAGCGATGCCATTGAACTTTCGTTTTGCAGTAGCTCTGTATAATTCTAAGACAAAATTTTAAAGATGGCTGCGCCCATGTTTCTCTGGCGCATAAGGTCTATTAAGACCAGGGTATGTGCGGTCTTTAAAATGAGTCACATTGTGTGGAGCACCACTCGTGTATACTAATGTGACGGTTGAGTTTTGTCTTAGTTTGAAGTCTCACCGTCTGTCAGTAGTTTTCACTGGAGCGGTAACAACAGAAAACATCCATACACACACACACAATGCTGATTTTATCCTTACAGCAATGTCATCTCTAAAAAAGATATCTCTCCCTTTTCACGTTGTATTGTAACCGCTTTCTGTCGGACAACGGTTGGTGATTGTGAGCAAGCTTTTGATGTTTAGGGTCACAAATGTGGTGTTGGGTGAAGAATGGCACAATTAAATGGCTTGTCCTTTCTGTCTGCATTGACTCTTTTATTTAGTGTTTTTTTATTTTTTTTATTTAGGTGTTAGATGGAGTGTTGGATTTGAATCTCACACTTGGTTGGGTGCTGCTCATGAGAGATTGTACACAGCAACAGTTGTGTGATGGAGGACACCAGGGGTTTTTGTGTTTGTGTGAGCTGAGAAGCAATTAACTTGCTGCTGGAAACAGTGTGTTGTTTATTAAAGTCAACATGGAATCACAGTTTATTTACTTTATGTGTTCCTGTTGTTATTGTGAATGATTCATCAGTGCACATTGTAATAAAACAACCTGTCTCCATTTATTTGCTATGCCTCTGCAACAACTCTCCTTTCTGGGTGATGTCAAGTCTTAATTTTGAACCCTTCCTCTACTAATATGAAGTCCATGCCCCCCATCTTCAGTTAGTTCCCGATAGATAAAAATCTTCTTTTTTTAGTAATACTTTTTCACTGTAGATACAGCGCATTACGTAAAATGAGTTGCGAGTAAAGAAATGTCACAAATACCTCAATTATGCATTATTACCTCAATTATGCAGTATTATTGACACCTGTGTGCTTGTACTTTTGCTGACCATAAACTCTGCTCTCTTTAGGACCCTGCAGGAATATTTGAGCTGGTGGAACTCGTGGGCAATGGCACATATGGGCAGGTGTACAAGGTAAGAAACTTTCATTGTATTTTTTGTAAATCACTTGTCCATAACAATTTTAGTTTGGACATAGCCAGTGAGGCTACACCAATTCCACTCTGCATGACACGGTCACCATTGACTTATTAGAATGGAAGAGAGCTGCATCAACATTCTGCTTAATATACATTTTTTTTGTTCCACGAAAGAAAGTCCTACAGGGTGAGCCTGTGAGGTTGATTTTTGGGTGAACTTTCCCTGTAGCCCAGAAATGAGCTGGGGATCTCCTGATAGAGTATTAAACAGTTCAGTCAGATCAGGTCCTTGCACAGCCCACCAGAACAGCATGCGGCCACAAAGCTGCTCCATGCTGCGGAACCAGGACATATGCTGGGGAGGAGGAGGCAAGAACGAATAGAGGGATGGCCATGAGATAGAGGGGGAAGCAGTGGAGGAAGAGAGATGAGAGTTGGCTCTGTGCCGGAGTTAGCAGATAGAGCCTAAAAGAAGTTCTTTAGTGGGTGGAATGTGATAAGAGAGTGTCTGATGTGCATGCGTCTCTCTTCGCCTTGAAGCTGCAGACAGACACGCACGTTAACAGATTTGTGGAGCGAGCCGATCTGTGCTCAGACGGGGAGGTGAATCTCTTCCGCTCTGCTTCTTTCTGGTCGCTTAGTGAGTCTCTCCTCTGTCGCTCCAGTTTGCCCTTCACGTCTCAGACATGCACAGCAGGTCTGAGTGCACAGGTGTGCGAGGATGAACCTGGGTTGGTGTATTATAAGCACATCTCATCCACTTCAGCTACACCTTTCTGCACTATCATTAATGTCCCTTGCTCTGGATCCATACGGCATGGGGAATTATTTTACCCTAGGTGTTAAAATGAGATAGGCCTAGACGAGGCCTACTGGAAGTGAAGGTCATTCAGTCCTTGTGTTTATGGAGGTAACTGCAAAATGCCATCAGCCCATCTAGTCAGTTTTTGAAAGTAAGAATGGCATGGTGATTCAGGGGCTGTGTGAGAGGGATTCGAACCTGTTCATGGAACTATCACTTACCCAATTGAGACCGGCATTTATACCATTGATTCAGTTTGCATTAGCGTAGAGTTTCTCTTGAAAAGGGATGTCCAATCCTTCTCCTGGAGGGCCAACATCCTTCAGTGTTTGGCTCCAGCACACCTGCTTGCATGTTTTAGTAATCCTAAAGACCTTGATTAGGTTCAGGTGTGTTTAATTTAGGCTGGTGGTGGTGACCCTCCAGGAGCTGGATTGGACAACCCCTGTTTATGAGCGAACTAAAGACTGATTAAACAAACAAGGGGTCATGCAAAGTCTGTTTAAACACCTTTTCAATTTTTTCATTTTGAGTACTAAGTCTCATTTCCAACCAATAACTTGGCAAAGCAGGGGTAGCTCCTGGATCCTTCAGAGTTCAGCTCCAACCCTTATCAAATACAGCTGTACTAGCTAGTGAAGGTTTTCAACATTTTCTTGAAAGTAACAGATAGGTGTTGGAACTGAAGTCTGCAGGAAGGTAGACCTCCGTGAGCAGTGTTGGCTACCCCTGTAGTAAAGAAATCTGTTTAGATTAGGGGTAGCTAACCTTGTTCCTGGAGGGTTGCTGCCCTGCAGAGTTTAGCTTCAACCCTAATCAAACATGCCTGAACCCGCTAATCAAGGTGTTCAGTATTACTTGAGATTAACAGGGAGGTGTATTACAGCAAGTTTGGAACTGAAGTCTGCAGGAAGGTAATCCTCCAGGAGCAGGGTTGGCTACCCCTAGTTCAGACACTTAATTTAAAAACTGTCGCTAAACCTAGCAGAATTTTTCAGTTTAGCCTCAGGGCAGGTGAAGTTGTCGCCAGGGCATTTATTAAAATGCTGTTGGCTCAAATTCTGGTGCTAACATGTATTGTCCTATTGTTTTGAGATTGTATGCTGTGTAAGAAAGCTTAGGACGCTCATTTCGGCTGTCCACAGGCAGTCGATGTAAGATCTGCCAGACACAACCTCCAGTGAGCACCTTTCATCGTCTCATTCATAATAGAGCAGCAGCTCCTCCAGTTCTTGGAAAGACAGGTCCGCAGACGTATCTACCTTTCCTACACTGAGACTGAATTTTGGTGTGGGTCACTAATTCCATTCTGTCACATCCAGTTTATAATGAAGCCATCTCTGTTTTTCCCGTTCCTCCATCTCTGTCTGTCTTTTTATCTGAGACTCAGAAATACGCTGGTTGGTCAGACAGGATCTGATTTTACTGTAGCTGAATTGGATGCTACTTAATAGGTTTGTAGTTGGTGTCTTTTTATAGACCCTGTCTGTTCATAGCTTATACTATGCTTCTTTTTTTCTCTTAGCACCAGGACAGCTGTAGTTAGTGGTCTCAAAGAAAACTAAAAATGGGACAGCAATTTATTATCCTGAGTTAGGCTGACGGAGTTCAAATATTGGGAGACAAAAAAAGTGTATTCATTTTACAGAAACTGATGATGATGATAATAATTTATTATTATTATTTCCTTTTTTTTAAAGTCTCCTTATTTTTTTCCTCACATCTCATAGGATGTTGTGGCAATTCTTTTTTTGTCCTAAACATCAGAATAAGAGATCTAGGGTTGTATACCCTTTTGCATAGCTCTCAACAGTGCTGTCTACTTAGGCCTGCTCTGCCCTACAAAAGCAAAAGACCTTAACTCGCTAGAGTGTGGAACTGAGAAAAATGACTTTAAAGATTTTTAGTTGTCCCGCCAAATTAATTATAGGTAGGACACTGAAAATCTGGCAATTAGATGTTTAAGTAATGAAAATTATCTACATAACAAAATTTTGAGCTCAAACTTGACTTTTGACCACTATTTTAAAGTTACTGTACTCTGCCTTTGTATTGTCAACAAAAAGTGAGAAGTCATGCCAAGGCAAAAGCCAGTAACTTCCACATTATCAATATTTGGTTGCTGATCACCATTAAAAAAATCATTATAGTAACACCTGAATAAAATCTAGTGATCATGGCATTTATTTTGTATAATTTACAATTACCTAGCCTTCTAGTTATTGTGCTTTGGTTGCATTCTGGTGGTCCTATTAATACATTAGACATGACACAATACCTCCATAGCGGTAAAGACTAAAGAGAGTATCTTCAAGTGGTACCGAGTGGCATAAGACTTGCTAAACACGCGTTATAATGTAATGTAATGATCACGATAAAACAGATCCTCGCGCACATTCGACCCGGAGACTGTTTATAGCGGTGCGTGGATCTGAAAGACGAATACTTTCACAGGCGTTTACCGAGATTCGTGTTCGAAGGTGTCACGATCCGTTCACGAAAAGTAGCCTATAATGCAGTGCTTTACCCCTTAAGGACTCAGTAGGGAGCGCGTTCTGGACTACTTAGACGACTAATGCATTTATAGCACAACCTTCTGTGTTCTGCGTCTTTTCAGTATGCGTTGGTTTCAGCTGTCTGCCCTAATATTGTGCGTGCACTTCGCTCGTCCCGCGGATTTATTCCGGACGCTGTGTTTTGTATGCATGCTTTTAACAGCTGTTCTGATGTTGTATGCACCAGCACTTCTTGCTTCATTCTGCTGTATGCGACAATATAACCTTGTTGCTTCATTATCACTCTGTGTCTGTGATATTAGTCCCGCGTCGGCTCGACCGTGTTCAAGGCGGAGCTGAAGGCGCCGGCGAAGTTTTGGCACTCTGCCAGCTAGATACATGATTGTTTCAACTAGGTCCGGTACCCGAACTGGGTGAGGCGGGGCTTTAGTTCTTTGTTGTATTGACCTGCTTCGGTATGTGTAAGATTTTTCTGTCAACTCTGCATATATCCTTCGCGATCGATATCGCACGTTTGTCGATGGAGCGGGTTAAGAGCATACTAAATGTTCTGACCGCATTAGTGCAGGACAAAGCTCTGATGATATCAGAAGTTACAGGGACGGATGGTAGCTGTACAAAGTACACAGGCTACATCGTAATTTTAATTTTAATGGAGAGTAGCCTAAAACAAAGGCAGAACACCGTATAATCTGATAGGTAGCATTATTTGATAGAACGCCAGCACCGTAACTTCATATTGACGCGCGGCTAAACAAAGACAGAGTGCCGTAACTCGATATGAGCGTTCCAAAACTAAGCCAAAGAGCCGTAACAACAGTTACGGTGTTCTGCCTTGGTTTCTCATGGGCTTTTGGAAGTTACGGTTAAGACAAACCATTATTTTCTCGAAAAAACAACGGAATTGACTCAAGATACTTATCCACATGATAAAGGAGGTCTTGAATGTGCCAAAAATATCAACTCATTTTCGACCAAAAACGAAGTTACGGTCTTTTGCCTTTGCACGGCAGTGCTGCCCTGTCCAAAGTGTTGACACAGAAGAGGCTTTAGGTCCCCACTTGGCTCAGGACAGCTTGAAGGAGAATTGAAGTTTAGTTGATGTTGAGGAGTTTGTTTGCCTTAAGATTTTCAGCTCTGCTTGGGACAGTACTACTTTTGTTGCAGGAGAAGAAGCTCTTTGGACAAAAAGAGATGTGGGCTCTTCTGAAAGTGGCTCAGTAACTGCAGTGGCTCACCTGAGAGCAGAATCCTGGTGCTCTCGAGTTATTTTGGATGACATTGACCTATTTTTGGCTTTGCTGCTGGATAAAAATATCTCTATCTAAATGTCTTGTGCAGTAGAGACACCTTGTCTGAGCAGAGGCACCAGCTCTAAAGATCTGTGTAGAAAAGCTCTCAACTCCTTTTCTTTTTTCCTTTTTTCTTTTCTATTCTTCTTTATTTCTGTCTTACTCTGTCACAATATGTCATGTGGTAATCAGATTAATGCCTGCATGTTAATATTTCTAAATCTTGTTCGAAGTGCAGTCACGAAAAATGCGGTCTATGTAAACTTACTTTTTTTTTGCAAGCAATGGACTTTCATTGAACTTATGATTTGAGATGATACGAATCTTGTTGACTGTCTCATGTCTTTCACAGATAATCAGGGAAATGTCAACAGTCATTTGTTAA